CATAGGGCCCGATGGGGTGAATACAATGTCTTGATGAATAGTGCCCTAGAAGTCAAATGGAATCGAGATAGCGTTGATCGCGATCGAGATAGCGTTGATCGCGAAGCCAAGTGATATAATACTACCTAGGTTATTGAGGCCGAAGCAATCCAAATATGCGGGTGGAATTGCATGCCTGCGGGCAGCATGTTCCGTAATATCTCGAAGCGCTCGAGCTATGACTCGTGACAAGATAGGTGTCTCCACCCTCACTTGTGGTTCTGTTGGTAAATTGCTATGGGGTGCCCGACCTAAACACGAGCGTCACAGCAGCTTGTTGGGTTACTAGCGCTATCACGGAGGCTGTGAGAATTGTGGTAGGAGGAACGAAGGGAACCCCTTGATTCATGTTATTTTCAGAAGCTTGGCTGCGGCGGATGTCTAACTCGGGAAATTTGATGAGCAATGTGATCAGTATCTGAAATACACTTGTGACTGAGCTGCAGCATCTAGTGTACCTGCCTCCTTGAAATTTTCATCGCACCCACAATGTCTTGCGCCAACATGCTATCGTTCACGGAGAACTTCCTTCCCAACCTTCTCTTCAGGTCTTGGGATTTCTCCCAAGTTCTCCGTTTCTTTGGGACCATCATCCACAGGCCAGATTAGACATGTCCAAAACAGCGGCTGCTCTTCGCGGCCTGGTCTTATTGCCTGTCGCCCTCGCCCAGCAATTTCCACTTCGAACCACTTCGTACGAGCACTTTGGTTTGAGTGAGAAGTGTTTCGAAGCACTGAACACCACTTTGGATTGCTCTAGCCAATTAGTCAGCCACGTCTGATCAGAGTAAGCTACTGTTCACCGGCTTTGCCTAGAATTTACAATATCAGTACTTACGCCTTAGTTGCAGATCTACAAGAGTTGACGTTCTAGAAGCCGATGGAATCGACAAAATTTGCGATGACGGTTGTAGAAACTCATTAGTAGAGTTGCGGGCTAAGATTCAGAGTGATTGTAACCCAAAGATCGATGTCTTCGATCATGGTTTAATGATATATCCTGGTATGATACTACGAGATCACCTCTTAGTTACCAGTTTGTCTAACAAAAGATTCAGCGACATATATTGTAGATCGTTACATCTACGTCTGCGACATTTCATGCTACAAGAACAGGTACGTCATCATTAGGTACGGGCTATTCGAGGCGCAAGATTGACGTTGAGGGGACTCAGAGACACAGGAAACTCTTGCGACTACATTCTGGGCGAATGGAGAAATCAGACAGATGATTCCCCGCGCGAATGCGACGATTGCGTTCTTGGGCCGATGGAAATTGAAGTCAACTCTCCTATCGGTTACACCTAATCGCGGGCTGTTGAGTTTCAGTCCGTGATCTCGAGCTGTGGCGCTAGAGGGTACACCTACACGAGTCCGTTGCCATATGCCATCAGCTCAACAGTGGCCCCTCCGGACTTTTCCGCATCCCCGACCATAGGAGCTCAAAGTTGGCCAGCCCAGCGCATGTCAGCAGATTGCGTCACCACGTACCACGCCCAAGACGGCGATACCTGCGACAGCATTTCTATTGCTCAGAGCGTCTCGAGTAGGGATCTAGTAGAGGCGAATGAACATCTTGACAATTGGTGTGGTGGTCTCAGCGCAGGACAAGAACTGTGTCTGCCTGCGCAGTGTAAACTGCACCTACTGACAACCGAGGATTCGTGCGAATCCTTGTTAAGGCAATATGAGTCTCGCCCAAGGACCTTTCGGATTGGAACCAAAAACTCTACATCCAATGTGACGGGTTCAGTAAGATCAACACAGGTTATATTTGCGTCGGGTAAGTCACAGACTCTAGTTCTAGAGCATGTCAACGATGCGCACCTCGCTCATGACTTTCGTGGTTTCTAGGCCTCCAATTATCCCTATAAAGTCACTAGAAACCTCACCATCACCTGGGAAAAGCAATTCCACCATTAACATCAGTGCTTCCTCACCGGGGACGACGAGCACTATAGTCCAGCAGACATCAGTACTACCATCGAAGGAATCTTCAACAACTCAGGCTTCAATGGATGAAAAGATGTTCAGTGGAGGACCAATCGGGGAGACCACCGGGGCGTTCTTCGGCATCGAATCATCAATTCCCTCTCGTTCAGAGACAAGCACAGCTCAAGATCCTACCTCATCTGCACAGGTTTAGAGGTTGATTCAGTTAATGAAGGTCTGGATCTTGAATGCCAAAGGTCTACAAAGGTGACGCAGGTGGATGTTCCGCTGCTCGTGGCCGTAACATGAGCCTGAAAGGATGAATGATGGTTCATGTACTAGACACCTGTAACTTTGTGGACATGGCAGAATTCCGACAACGTTTACATAAGAAAGCGAAGCGTATTCATAGATAAACTCAAAAAGTTGAACCTCTACGGCAGGAGGACTGGGCAGCGTTCCCTAAGGTAGAGAAGAACAGCAGGTGCTTGAATACTATCCCTGGGTATCACCTGAGACTGGAGGAAAGAACATCGCGAGTATCCTCGTCAAAGTCTGTAGAGGCTAGTCGATTTCGAAGCACAATTGGGTGAGCGTATGGAATGGGCCATGCCCGAGAGGTCATGTTTTCCTCTTGTTGCATTTTTCTTTTGAGAATCGACGACCATTGGAGATGTGTATGCAGTAGACTAGCATCTGGAACACCATGTCTCATTCCCACTTGGCGACAAAAGAATTGCGTGCATACTAGAAGCAACTCAACAGCATGGAGCTCTGACCATCGACCAGACGGCCCACGCACCTACCTTAATTGTGAGCATTCATTTGCGAACTCCCTCATCTCCAAACTTGCGACAAGAGCGTTTCGATTCTCGGTGCATCAGCAGGCCCATATGAAAGCATCTTATATCATCATCTCATCATTCGTCTGCTATTCGAAGAAGCTGCTGCCATTATACATGTATCAATCCATGTCTTAACCCTTCTAGAAAACCATGCACAAGCGGCCCTTGAGCTGCTTAGACAAATAGTGCTCCGCCATCTCGTTAGCTTGTTCAACATCGTACGTCTTCTCAACGTGTGTCTTGCAACCATTCTTTGCATGCAACTCCACCATTTCCCTACTCCGTTCAGGAGTGCAAATCAACGCACCACGGACAGTCTGCTCCTTGAAATTCAGCGCAAAGGGGTCGACCTCAAAAGGCCCATCGGCAGGAAGACCGACATCGACCAGCACACCACCCTTGCGCAAGAATTGCTGTCCGAACCTGACAAGCGGCCGTGCCTCGGTCGTGATAACGACGCGGTCGACACCGGGGTTGGTATCATAGAATGAAGTCTGGAGCTCTTCAACAACCTTCTTCTGAGACTCTTCTGTGTCAATGAGGTACGTGCGATCGGGCTTGAGGTGTGAAGGCACATCGTTGGCTAGGTCGAGTCCTTCTTGTCTATTGTCGATGACAATGACCTTGTATCCCAGCGCCTTAGCGTATTGCACCCCGAGATGTCCCAGGCCGCCGATGCCGACGATGGCAAGCCACTGGTCTTTCTGACCCTGCGCGGCACACAGCGCGCCGTAGACCGTCGCCCCAGCGCAGAACAAGGGCGCGGCCTCGGCCCAGGGAATGGATTCAGGAATCTTGGCGATGACACGGGCGTCGGCTTTCATGTACTGTGCGAACCCGCCGTCGAGGGTCAGTCCCAACATGCCGGTGAGGTTATCGCAGACTTGTTTTCCTTGGTTGCACGAATTGCACTTGCCGCAGCAGCCATAGGTGTTGATGGAGCCGACGCGGTCGCCGACTTGGAGACCCTGCTTGCCTGCTTCGGAACCGAGCTTGATGATTGTACCAGCGGGTTCGTGAGAGCCAACAAGACCTGGCTTTGCGCCGGCGGAGGCGTAAACGCCCTGTTGGACTTGTAGATCTGTGTGGCAGTAGCCTGCGGCGGCGATCTTAACGAGGACGTCATTCGGGCCGAGGTCGGTCGGGACTGTTACGTCTTTTACCTCATAGCCTTTGTTGAAATCTTTGATTGTTGCGGCGCGCATTTGTTGGGGAATCTGGTCTGCCATGGTGGAAGGAGGTTGGACGGTAGTAGCGACGTCGGAATGGTGTTGTTACTCAGAATTGGATGTTGTTTGGCTCAATGCAGTTCGAGCTTAGTAGAATTGAATCTGATAGGAGACATTGAGAATTAGTTCATAAGAACCTCTTTGTCTCTCTAGACTTATTATAGGCCGGAGAAACAGCCAAGCTGCGACCGATTTTGTCTTTGAAACGTCATAATAGACGCTCATCAGATGTAATGGGGGACGCAATATCAGCGTCACAGGGTCCAATGATAGTTACGTCAAGTGGAATAGTTTAATGGACTTTTGCCGCTTCATAGTGTCATAAAAGTGGCCCGTTCAGAAACACTGGTCCGGGAGCATCTGACCGTTATCGACCCCGATTCAGCATGTGAGCTTTCGGGAAAAGTTGTAGTATCGCCGATGCTGACTACTTCTCTGTCATGTAATTCAAATGTCAACAATGGTGAACAATATACCATGCCAGAATTCAGTCTTCACATGTATACAGCAATGGGTTGTAACTTCAAACTTATGGTTGCTAGTGATAAACCAGTGAGCGACAATGAGCCAAGAAAAATTAATAAAGATGAAAATTCGATGTCCCGTCGCCACATGCACACCCGCGTTGGGACGTCAGTCGATGACTGTTGTCTCAAGTACGGTGATCTAACCTTGCAATCATCACAGCCGTTTCGTCTGGTGAGACTGCATCAGAAATTCGCATTCTCGGTAACATCGGTGTTAGGCAAGCTAAATATGCGAGCTCAACTCCACCAAGGCCCACCGTGCCGAGCGGGATCCTAAGATGCATCCGCCATCGAGATCGAGCTGGATGCAGACCCGGCTGAGTGGCTTTGTCTCACGATTCCTGTCAAAATCATACATGTTCTGATCCGAGGGTGCAATTTACTGTGAGTCTAGTTATCGAATTTATGTTGCTTTCACCAATACTCCATCATGACCAGGTGCATCTCGTCTTAATGTTGGGCTGACCTGCCGCGCCTAGAGTTGGGTGGTAGACCTTCTTGGTGTCCGCAGTAACGGGATCCACCACCTGGCACTGGTCGTCCTCGTCGTAATAGCTCCCCTTCAACTCTGTCTCACAGATTCTCTGCCTCCAGTTGCGCAGGCTGTCATTGTACGCGGCTGGTGGTGCTGGCGAACAGCTGGCGTGGAAGACGGTGATGTATTCGGCGAAGGCTGTGCTAGACAGTGCAAGCAAGAGGGTTGCTGTGTTGAAATGCACTGTGGGATGTGAGAAAGTCAAGTCCGGTTCTTGAGTATAGAGAGAATGCTTGACTGACTGGTGGAGTGGGATTTTGTATGAGGAGCGACTGTGTTGATCTTGTGTGCTTTAATCGCCTTGAACTAGGCGTGACTCCAACATAGGTAGAATATGCATAGAAAGACCGGATTGGCGTGGGCTTATGTATTCTGGATCCAGCACGAAAAAGCGGTATTGAACACTATTGCTATTTGAAGTTCAATTAGATTAAAGAAACTCTAAGGAGCAGCTAAGAGTTGAAAGTCGGATGTCGCATTCGCTTTTCCCCCCTTTGAAGTGCTAAGCTTTGTACTAAGTGGGCTACAAGACCAAGCCTCGCCCGCTCGTTCCGACCACACAGGCCACAACGACATCGCCGAGGTATTGAAAATGTGGTTTTGTGGTTGGATATGTTCTTGAAATCCAAGAGGCGAATTCTATACTGCCTGGGTTCTTTCACTCATGGCTTGATTGACTTATTGTGTCTTACCAACTTCGAGCTGGTCACGTCTTACGTCCCGTTCGCAGGATTATCTGATGCTGTCCCAGCCCGACGGAACTTATATAACTCCGTCTCCTTCGGCTATCCAGACCCAGGACCAATAAACCTTATTTGATGTCAAGCAATACTCCGTACTTACTATGTATAACGACGAACTGTCAATGCCCAAACAAGCAAGGGGTGGCCCACTGTGCTTTAACAAGGGCTTCTGCTACCAATAATCCAGCATGTTCACTAATTAATAACCGTCATCCTACATCGACAACTGTTATGGATCATTCAACTCGTCCAGAGGATATTCTATCTTCTAAACTGCCCGTCATGGCTCAAAGAGCCTTTGAAAATTTCTTCCAAAGACTGCACGCGTTACCAAAGCATACCTAGTAGGGAGATGGATCTTTTCCAAATAGATTCTAGAAATATTCAAGTCTCATTCGATGTGTGCTCTGGGTGCTTTAAATATTGGAAAATAAGCGCTATGCCAAAGGGATTTAAATACATCGAAGAAAACCAGTCTTTCTTGCGGGTACCTTGCCGAGGCTAAGCGTATTGTCTCAGTCGATTTTGCAAGCCTCCATACCAATTCCACAAATTCGAAGTATCACTCTTGTTCTAAGTTTGGTGCACTCGAGGTCAAAGCACTGCTACTTTTCTGCCTGTTTGTACGCCAGGCATAATATTCTCCCCCAGTCATGACGGGGTATTTCATGGGATTGCTCTCACTCACGCATGTTGGCACAGGCTCCAATACCTTCGCTCTATCGAAACCGAAAAAGAACGGAGCCGAATACCTCTCATTTCCGCTCTTGTTGATGACCCTATGGATTGTCGACACGAAAAAATCATTTGTCTGTCTCATGAAGCAGTCGGAAATGTTGACAACGAACGCACCGGGGATAGGATCCGCCTTAACCCAGTTGCCGGACTTGCTGAGAACTTCGAGACCGCCAGAAGAGTCTTGAGTAACAATGGTGAAGCATTCGACGTCCGTGTGCGCGCCGATACCGTTTTGTTCGTCTACCGAGTGCTTCTGCTCTGGGTAGTGGAGGATGCGCATTCCCGCCTCTGGCCGCTTGACATATTCGTCGAAGTAATCTTCCGGCAGGTGGAGAGCGAGTGCGAAGATGCGGGTTAGCCGGCGTGAGAGCCGGAGGAGCTCTGTGTGATAGGCGTAAAGGTTGTCCCGGAAACCAGGTAGGTCGATAGGCCAGATGCTGACGGAGTTTTCTGTCTTATCAACTGCTTCGGGGTCTGTCTGCGCGTCGTAGGCCCAGTTGAAGGCTTCGCTCAAATCTAGACAAGGGTCAGCAGAGGAGAAAGAACCCCAATATTGTCATAGAAAGAGGCTCTCTACCTTGGTGCTTCCATCCATTGCGGTTATAGCATTCCATCGGATGGAAGCCAACATACTCATTGGGGACGAGACCGGTGAACACCTGCATCTTCTTCTCATCTGGCAATGCAAAGTAGCGCTTGGCTTCTGTTATTGTCATGTCTGCGAATTTTGGATCAATCCCCTTGCTCCACGTTAGTCTGCCTTACTCCGAGACATCAAAATTCTAATGCACATAGATCTCACATGATTGATCAGGTAGAAGAAGCCGATGTTCTTGGAAGCCTCTCTTACGTTCTCGGCCACAGCTACACGATCTTCAACTTTATTGCTCCATATCCCCGACGCATCGATAACTGGAATTTTCTCCAGGCTTGTCGAGATGTTTGAGTTGAAGCTAAAGACTTGACCATTGTGTAAAGTTACAGTTTTAGCCTTCGAGTCTGATATTATGGCAGTAGCTGACATTTTGGAATATGACGGGAAGGGCGAAAGAAAGGAAGAGAACGAATTTTGATACTCGAATGTTAAGCCGTTGGATCTGTTCCGTGTTCAAGCCTCTGATGAGGATGTAAAATTTTCAATCCTTGATCTCAAGTCTATGAATTAAATGTAAGGCAGCTCGAAGGTGAGCCCCGCCAATGCTCGGCCAGTGCATCCCGTCGGCGATGTCTTATCGCGGGGAACAGGACGGGTAAATCGCAAAACTGCTCAATTGGATTAAGATATTCGCCCATCATTGGTCAACACCAGTTCTTGTCAGATCTCACAAGATACAGCAACATTGAACTACCGGCAAGAACTACTTCGCTGCCGCCTATCTGGGTGAGGCCATCAAAACCGTAGTATTGCCGGTTCCTTATCGAGGTGCGTCCGACAACGACAGGCCCAGAGGCGAAAGGCGAGGTTTCTCGAGTCTTTACATGACATCTCTTATCAAGGCCTTTTTAGGGGGCGCCTATCTGAGTATGATAGGCACTTCTCCTAGACGTTAGAAATCATGCACTCATAAGACAGTGGGATTACTGTTTTGTTCTTCGTCGACTCCACACGGTCGTTGAAGCATCTTTGTAGAGGGTGAGATCGCAACCTTTACCTACCCTTCATTTTCCTCATTTCCAGGCTTAATATTACAACAATGACATCTGTTTTTTCAAGGACCCGCCGTCTGATTCAACGCCTAGAGGTAAATCAAGATACAGACACAAAGGTGGACATTTACGTCAACAAAGATACCCGTCCGTTGCCTCCATCCCGTCGAAGTTATGGTCCTTGGGAGTTTTTGGGGCTATGGATGGTCACCGGATCTTTCAATGTTGGCGGCTGGACGACGGGTTCTTCCTTGATCTCCTTGGGACTCAACGTCTGGGTAAGCGATTTAGCCTAATCCGCGAGATAATTTGAGGCGATGATCCGTAAGCTGATGGAGCTAAAGCAATCCATGGTTGCAGTCGTCGTCGCTTACACCTTTGTTGGGTTTGTATGCATTGCTGGAGGCCATCCGGGCGCAAAGTGGCATATCGGGTTTCCGCTTTGGATGAAGCAAAATTGGGGTGTATGGGGTTATCTGTTTCCCATGGTCAGTCTAGACCTCACATCTTACCTTACCTTGCCCAGTGCAAACAAGATTTGAGGCTGTGTGAGCTAATCTCGCGACCAGGCCATCCGAGTCTTCTTATCCTTTGTATGGACAGCCACCAACACGTGGTATGGGAGCCAATGCTTGAGGGTCCTCCTGACCTGCATCTGGCCATCATACCTCAATTTGGATTCTGAGCTTGCGGACGGGACGATGAAAGTCTATGACCTCATCTCCTTCATCCTGTACTTCCTGCTCTGCCTGCCATTGATGTGGTTCAGCCCAGAAAACTATCGTAAGCCGTTCCTCTTCGCCTCGACCACGGTGGCGACAGCCGTTTTTGTGCTATTGATCTGGTCCACCACTCGTGCAAGTGGTGGAGGTGCCCTTCTTGCAGATGTGAGCAAGGTCTCTGGTATCAAGCCTGCGCAAGGGGGAGACTTGGGCTGGGCCTTCGTAGCCGCGATTACGGCAAATATTGGAGGTATCGCTACGCATATGTGGTCTCAGTCCGACTACACCCGCTATGCCCGGAAACCAGGGGACCAAGTCCTCGCTCAGCTCATCATGGTGCCTCTGGGGACCATCATCGTGGCCCGTATCGGTATTATCTGCACATCGTGCGCGGCAACGCTCTACCCCAACGAAGGGAAGCTGCTGTGGCAGCCCTACGCCTTCCTCGATGCTGTACGCAAGAACGAGGCCAATTCCGGCGCCCGAGCTGGGGTCGCGTTCGCCAGTATCGCTTTCATGCTATCGCAATTTGGCATGGTCGTTGCCTCCAACTGTGTAGTCGCGGGTATCGATCTAGCCGCGCTGCTACCGCGATGGTTTACGATCCGCCGCGGAGGGTACTTCACTATCGTCTTCGTCTTCGTCATGCAGCCCTGGTCCCTGCTTAACAGCGCCAGCAACTTTTTAACCGTGGTCGGCAGCTTCAACGTCTTCCTCGGTCCGCTCATGGGAATCATGTTTGCCGACTACTTCCTTATCCGCAAGCGGACCATGAAGCTCACCGACTTGTACGGTGACTCACCCGCCAGCATTTACTGGTACACCAGAGGTTGGAATCTGCGGGCGGCCGTTTCTTGGGTATTCGGAGCCTGGATGTTCATTCCTGGTTTAGCGCAAAGAGCTACGGTACCTAGCGAAGTTTGGGGTGGGTGGACGAGACTTTACCAGTTGTCTTGGTTTGTGGGATGTCTCGTATCTGGCTCGACGTATCTCGCATTCAATCGTATCTGGCCCATGCCTGAGAAACAGGCAGTGGATGACCTTGATTACTTTGGCACCTTTGGAGACGCGCCAGTACTGCGCGGCGTGGCTGAGCTGGACGTAAGCTCGATATCAGAGGTTGTGAGAGAAAAGTCGCGCGCGGGGCAAAAGGTCCAGATCGTCTGACGCCAGTGCAAGTTCGTATTTATTGCCTGTTCCGTCGAATTTCCAGATAGACTAGAACCCAAAAATCTCTTCATGCTTCAAGCCACCGTCCCAAGATGGAAAGCTGACAAGTAAATGTCTCAAACCATGGGTTCTTCGCCCCTTCAATCATATCATTTATGATGTCTTTTTCGTGACATGATCCGTGGCATCCCCCCACATTCCATCTGATCGTCATGCATGGCCGCAGCGTACCTGGAATTTCTGCGTTTGCTCCGTGCTACGCCGTTTGCAACTGCATTAGAGGCTCGACAAAACCTAGACCATTCACGACATTAGCCCAAAACAACCGACTGAGAAGCCCATTGGATGGAGGTGAGGGGAATACGAGGGACGACTAGAACGGGCAGGCCGAGTGACTTTGGATGAATCGTCGCATTTCCCACAATGCCACATCGCATTTTGGGCTTGGAGGAGCACGCGCCAATGCCTCTTTCTTCCCATCTGTCAGTAATTAGCTCAAGCTTTGAGTGAGCTTATCCCACGTTTCATGAGGAGTACCCATTTGGATCCCATTGGGAACACCCTTTGTCCAGATGTGGATAACTGATCTTCAGAAGGCGAGATAGTATCCACGTCCATCAGACTTTCCGACGTCAACACCCGGCCCGTGGCCTCTGGGCGTGGTGCCGATCCAAAAGCTTGAGCCAGGTGCCGGTTCAAAGTCTATTTTTTCTATCTGGACGTGTCTCTATGTTCTTTTTAGCTCAAGCGGACCCCCCCTCCCCGCATCCAGGAGAGAGGATGGTTCCGACCCTTGCGTAACCCCGACCTTCTTTCATTAGGGTGCCGTCCCTACGGATCGCATGCCATCGAAGACGGCCGGCTTTGGCTCCCTAGATCTTCTTACCTTGTTCTCTTTCTGATCATCCTTTCTTGCCTCTGCCGCAATTTCCCTGATGCAGCAGTGGCAATCATCAGGTACGATCAACCTCATGTCGCGGCATGGTAGACGTCGACATTGACCCGCACCGACCTCGTCGCGTCCTCGCGGTCGCCATCTTTTGCCTCTGCCTCACCTGGATTGCAGTGCCGCTGCGCATCTACTCGAGGCTTTTCCTGACACGGGTCTTCACTCTCGATGACAAGCTCATATGCTTGGTCCAGATCACATTCACCGCGTACCTTCTAACGGATATCGCGGCAGTCTTTCACGGGTCTGGACATGATGCAGTAGAGTTTTCGCCAGAGGACAGAAGGATAGCTCTTCAGGTATGTGTAGATAACTCCTCGAGAGTGAAATGACAAGCTTGGAGCTCTTCCTCAGGGAGCTGATACTCTACCTGCAGCTTTTCTTCGCCGGCGAACTCCTATATCTGATAACTACGATACTCTTGAAAGTCTGCGTTGGCCTATTGTTGCTCAGCATCGCCATTGTACCTTTACACATTTGGACACTTCGGATACTCCTCTGTTCGACATTCTTTTTCGGATCACTGTACTTCATCTTGGTCATCTTCCAGTGCAGACCGCTTAACGTATTCTGGGACGTGGGCCCTCGGACACCAGGCAGTTGCTTCTCAGACAGCGTCGTGCTTGGCTGCACATACACCCTCGCCATTTTGAACTGTCTCGCGGACTGGACGTTTGGCATTCTGCCGTTATTAATTGTCTGGTCGCTGCAGATGCGTCTGAAGACGAAATTACTAGTCATTCTGCTGCTAGGCTTCGCGTCCATGTTTGTCGCTCTGTTTATTTCTTTACTAGCATACACAAAAGCTTCTAGACTTACTAATCACCTCCTGTCTCGTTTAGAGCGAGCATTGCTACCATAGTGCGCGCAGTAGCTGTTCCAGCACTGCTCAACCAGGAAAACTTTCTTCGTATGTCTCGAGAAAGCTCCCCTATAGCCATGCTTGATCGTTTACTTACTTGCCCAAGGCGACACAGCATATCTAGCCATCTGGAGCAACATCGAGCCCGGTATTGGCATAGCGGCAGCCTGTGCGCCGGCTTTGTCCCCGCTGGTTCGACACATTCTGGGGAAAAGACAACGTCGGGGATACGAAAGGGGCATCTGGCGAACACGGGACCTTCCAACAATCACTAACGGCTCAATGGCGCTACCGGACAGAACAGAGAGGAGGCAGCATGAGTTTCGAAGCGGGGGCACATCCAAAAACGACGTACTACGCCTGCGATTTGACGACTTTTCATACGAGTCCCGGATCTCCTCCGGCCCACAGGCACACCAGATGCGGCCGGTGCCGCCGCCGAGGAATCGGGCGTCATGGGCCTTTCCATTACGGCGCGGGTCAGCAGCCAGCGGCGGCGGCTTTGATTGTAACACCGCTGATACCACGCTTACGACATCGACGATATCATCAGAAGGGGCAGCAACCGAGCCGCCGTCCTCAGGGATCATGAAGACGATGGAGTTCCAGCTGTCGTATGAGGCGAGGACGTGGACGACGTCGAGGGGGGGAAGGATGATTCCGCGGGACGAGAGCATGACGCTGCGGCCTTCGACGATTGCGGAGATGAGGAGGGTGACGAGCGGCGAGGTGCCGCTGCTTCACGGCGGGGTGTCTCCGACTTCACGCGAGTATGACGTTGAAGCTGGGTTTACGCGGACGTCGTACAACAATCGGCACTCATCACCGCCTGAGTCACCGTGGGAGTGGATGGGAAATCGACAGGTGAGGCCTCTTTCTATGAATGGAGGCAAGTTCGGAGCTGAGGTCACTCGTACAACTACTGCGGAAAAGCGTCTATCGACGAAATCATAGCGAGAGAAGATCGCGGGCTTGGCTGTCTGATTGCAAGTTTCGAAGTACATAATATTATAATATGGATGTTCTCCTCCATCAATCTGATAAAGTTTTTGCTCCATGATGCGCTGCGACACTCGATTGAAAAGTCACGATATGCAATTGGATACATCTTGGACAGAATTGGCCCTTTGTTACATGGGTCGCGTTGCCTAAGAAAGAGGAAGTCTTGTAGTGTAGATTATCCAACTACTCACAGTTGCTGGGTGGGACGTGACTGTTTTGTGCAGCCCTATTTACTTTCGTGCCTTCTAGGTCCTTGAAGTAACTGAGCGGAACTAACGTGGTTGTCCTGATTTGAGGCGAAAGACTGCGCCTGGACATATACTTTTCAAAGAGGAAAGTACCGTGGTACGCTGTAGTCTTGAAAGCTATTTCCGAATTATTTAGAATATCAAGTTACCCGGATGGCCATTCATTGTGTAAGGCTATAAGATGGCGACATGCCCCTCCTAGGTAAATGTCAAACAGAACAGAAAAGAAGAAATCATATTAATTTCAATCTCTCCTGCCTTGCCGACTTACTCAATTTTGCTTTTGACCCCCTGAGAGAGGCCAAGGACAACGCAACGGAGATCACGACCAGAAACAACAACTATAACGCCACAATGCCAAGAGCAAGTACTCAGCCAGAAAACAGTCAGGCTGATAAACCACTGTTCTTCTACATGCCTGATGCAGAATGGGGAGAATTCTGCCAATGGCACGAGTCGAGCTTCACAGTATCCAAGGCAGAGATCTCCGACCTTGTTGGCCGCACCGTAAACGAGACAAACCCTGATGAGACCATCAGCTTCAACTGCGCTGAGCAATTCATGATGTACTGCAAAGCCGCAAGATTCCACGATGTTTCGACACAAGATCTAATCCTAGCGACAAGTAGTCCGAAAGAACAGAAGAGGCTAGGCAAAAACGTCAGTGGGTTCACGAACGAAAGTTGGGATCAGATCAAGAGTACTGTCGCCAGTATGGGCAACAAGGCGAAATTCGGACAGAATGCGTACCTAGGCCGAAAGCTGTTATCCACAGGCGATCGTCTGCTCTGCGAGGCTGCGTCAAAGGATCGCGTTTGGGGGATTGGATATACCGCTAAACACGCCATGTCTCATCGTCAACACTGGGGTGAGAATCGACTGGGCAAAGCTCTCATGGTGACAAGAGAACACTTGAGGAGCGAGGAGGCCCGCAACAAGAAGCCTTGGGAGCAGTATGAGGCATGATGGCACAACATCCCAACAGCAGCCAGCGGTAGCCGGCGGTAGCCGGCGGCGCGGCGCGTCAACAGCGCCTTTTACATTCACCATCTGGATTCTCAATGGGTGCCTCGACTTCCCAAAGATAACATGCCTTCAGGTGCCTCAGACAAGGTTTAGATTCACCAAAACAAATGGCTCTTCTCTGCGGGATATTATTACTTCGAAGCACGAGGAGTCATTAGCGGAGGCCTCCCGCAATGCTTCTACGGTTCCACGACTGTGGAACATCCACAATTAGGACTACGAAGGTGGGCGAAGGACAAAACCTTGCTTCATTGGCGAAGCTGGTACGATTTCTCGCCTCTCTCACTGCATCAAACGATGATCATCAGGGGGTTCGAGGAGTAAGAAGGGACACCGGAGGGAAGTCAGTTCATCCTGGCATCATACATGTGGCATATCAGAATGGGATCCAGCCAGGAGTGCGAGTGAGAAAGGTTTGGCAAGACTGTGAGAGCCTGGAATGCCGACCAATCAGGGCGTTCAGGAATAAGGAATTATGGAGCTTAAATATTTGTTGTGGTTGTTCATTTCTATCTCTAAAGATGACAAAGGAGATGTTGTAGTCTATTACAGGCAGGTATCACCAATGGTACAGATGGGATGTCATCAATCCAGACACCAACCCCGATGCACCCATTCCTCGACTCCGTTACGATGCAACCCATGAATATTGACAGAAGAAAAAAATATTTCCGAAACAATGATAATAATAACTTCCCATGGTATCTCTCTATGTCATTCCCCCAACAAGCGAAGCAGCTTAGAAGCAGAAAACGGCATCAGACATCTTGGAAGTGGCACCAGGCTTCTCGAAGCCGAGGTTCGTCAACGACTTCTTGGCCGCGTTGACCATGCCAGGCGGGCCGCAGAGCATGACGCGGGACTCCGGACCGGGAGCGGGGAACCGCTCAACCATCATCTCCTGCGTGACGTATCCGGTGCCGTAGGCCCAGTTCTCGGGCGGCGAGTCGAGGAGGTAGTGCAGCTTGAAGTTCTTGGGGTACTTTCTCGCAAACGCCTCGAGCTCGTCCCGCAGCAGGATATCGGCCTCGGAGCGGTTGGCGTAGATGAGGCTGACCTCGGTGGTGTCGCGGTCGTCCTCGCAGATGGCGCGGATGAGCTGGTACATGGGGGTGATGCCCGTGCCGCCGGCGAGCATGCCAATCTTCTTTGCCAGGTTGGGGCGGTAGCGCATGGCGCCCTTGGGCCCGCGGAACTGCACCTCGTCGCCGACCTCGAGGTTAGCGAGGTACTTGCCGGTGAGGGCGCCGTCGGGGTAGCAGCGGATGACGAGCTCGAGCTTGCCGAGGTCGGCGTTGTTGGAGGTGGGCGTGTAGGAGCGGGAGACGGACTTGCCGTCGATCTCGGCCTTGATGGCTACGTGCTGGCCGATGGGCAGGCCGAGGACCGTGGTCGGGGTCGGGAGCTCAAAGACGAAGCGGTAGACGTTGGGGGCGAGGAGGGTCTTTTCGACGAGCGGGAGAGGGTGGTAGGAGACGGGGTCGAGCCAGCCGCGCTGGTTGAGGGGGTTTGCTTTGGCGACCTTGGGGATCTTCTTGTGCGGACGGTAGTGCATGGGCGTGAGCTCGTAGTGGAGGAGTTTGGAGGCTTCCTTTGCGGCGATGGAGCCCGCGACGGCAAAGAAGGCCGAGGCGACTGCGAAGCCCTCCATAAAGCCGAAGCCGGTGCGCTTGGAGCGGGCGGCGCCGCTGCCGAAAGAGAGCCATGCGGGGAACTGGATGTTGAGTCTCTGGATGGCGGCGATGGCGTCCTGGCCGGCGGGAGTGGAGGAGGCGTGACGGGCGGCGACGGCGCCGAGACCGATGAAGAGGGCGGCGGCGGCGGCTTGGGAAGCGACGCGGGCTGCTGAGCCGGAGGCGGAGGAAGTCTTCTTTTCGGGGGCGGCCTTGGGCTGGAGGCGGACGGCCTTGGGAGCGGAGCGCTTGTTCACGCCCTTGAGCTTGCCAACCTTGAAGTCGGCCATGATTTCGTAGGCGTCTTCGGAGTGGCCTGCGTTGTCGAAGGCTTCTGAGGCGTCGACGCCAGCGGCCTCGATGAGGACATCTGCGCCACCGGGGTGGTCGTGGAGGTACTTTGAGACATCGTAGACTGTTGTTTGGCGGGTTAGTCTGGTGGTCTTTGGACAAGTTCGGGCAATGCAATTGGGGGGGTTTTGGGCTTACCTTCGCCGTGAATAACCATCCAGCAGTCGTTTGCTTCTCTGTGCGCGGCAACCTCCTTGGCCGTAAACTCGGGGCCTGCTGTTGACTCTGTAGCCGCCATTGTGAATGTGTATATGGTATTGGTATCTCTGAGAGATGTTTTTAAGATGGGAAAGGGGGTGGGGTGAGAGGTAGTATTGTTACACTGTCGCAGAGTTGTGTCGCGCTGATGATATAAAAGAGAATTTTACTATCTTATCTAAGAAATGGGAAAGATTCGATGTCGATCGTGATGTGTGGACAAGGTTACAATGAACAGAAGGACCCCTTTTGCTCCAGAGGGCCGGGCTTCGGAACGGGGGAGAAGTGCAGTGTTCCTATTTATCGAAAGATGGCGACGCCATGGTGACATTTGCCAGCGAAAAAGATGCCTAGGTATATCCACAATTTACAAGAGAAATCCATAATCGCCGTCACTCGTCAGAAGATACACCTCACTTTGCATTGGATGAGAATGAGACCGAAAAACAGAAAAGGAAGCAAGGGTAAAGTCCGAAGGGCAAAGATGCCGAGGCACAGAGATAAAGTGTGGGCATCATCGGGGGACCCTGCGCGCGTTCTTCTGCGCGATAAAGTCTATGGAGCCCAGGGTACGAAGTTATGGAGCTTTCTTTTCGGAAGCTCCAAATCGTTCCCAAAGCTTGGGACCATTAGAAGCTAGGATTGGGATCCATTTGGAATGAGCAGAAGAGATGAATCTGGAAAGATTCGGCCGGCGGTCGGCGGGTGGGGGGCGCGACTGACAAAGCGAAGGCACGGGATTGGATGCCGGGACCCGGACCCACTTACGGCGATGTGCCTCGGCGGTCCCGACAGGATGAGCGGGTTGATGACTTGATTGACGTTTATGCCTTGATTTCAGAGAAATGCGCGAGTCGTTTCCCTTCTTTCCCATCATTGCTATAGCTACTCAGCGTACTCCATATGATGTATTCTTACGTGCTATGAGGGCAGAATTATTAGAGTGTCGGTTTGCGAGAACGAGGGAGGCAGAAAAAAAAAGTGCGATCGACAGTGCAAATCAGCCAAGCCTAAAGTGAAATAGAGATGAACTAGGACAAGAAAGTGTAAAGCCGACACCATCACAGACACAGATAGGGATACTACATTGTAGACTACGGAAAAGCCAAGAGATGAGCCGCGGCTCTGCCTAGTGCACTAACGCTAAGGTAGCAACTGCGAGATTCGTTCCTGCACTGGAAATTCGTACCCTCAAGGTTGTTATCGAAGAAATCAGTGGCATAGCATGATGGTACGGTAACTAACGGTTCGGTCTCAGGGGCCGGGTGGCAGAACTGACGAAAATAACAAGAGACCCGCAACCGGACGGTATCCGGAAGAAGACGGCCGATGATTGGATGCATCATGCCATTTTCAACCAAAGCTCGTGGGTGCGTGGTCCAATGGAAACGGGCAGTGATTACGTAGGTGGCACAAATCGAGCCGAGGCCACGGACTTCGGGACTTGAGCGGCGACAAAACGGCGACGGAGCCACTTGAACCCTCGGTACGTACCTAAATCAGCCACGATCGACTCCCACTCTGTCCCCCCCCCCCCCTGTTTCTGCAAAATTCTGCAACTTTCCTCTTCACCCTTTCGTCCTACGGTACCTCCCTCTGTGAGTGTGGCCTCCCTCCTTTCGAACTTCCGACCTTCGAGAAACACCATCTTGGAGCTTATCAAATCATCCAATGCACGAAAAGTTCAGGCCAAGCATCCACCCCTGGCCTTTTCGCCTCGGCACCTGGACGCCTCTGGCGCAGATCACCCTTGTTTAGCCCTATCGCGGCGCATCAAACGTGCTCCAAATCTCCGATTTTTCTCTTGCACCATCCTCCTTCCGCGAATGTTCAGATTTCCGCTGTCATCATGCCAGAACCGCGGCTCTCCTCCGTCCGCACCCACATCTTTTTTGACTCTGCACTTGCAGTCTGGAACCTACGAGTCTGTTGCTTGTTTTCGCCGTGTTCCACTGTTCCACGCCGGCCACGGAGCCGACACTTGAATGGATTCGTCTCACCTTCACGGCCCGCTTGTTTTTTTTCGGACTTGAGCGTCGCCCATGAAGTAAGTCATGGCCCTTGGGTCAAGGGGACCTTGAGATGAACCTCGGCAGGCCACTTTTTCTTTCGCTCGTCACTCATCGGCCAGCTGTTCGGTCTGTGTGTTTGTTGTGTGTTCCCACCAAAAGAATTGACATTGCCTGGGATGGGATTGGATAAGCTGCGCTATATTGCGATGTTCCATAGGTACGTACTATTTTGATTGCCATCTCTTTTTTTCTCTTATATATCGTCAACGCGTTGCATCCCCCTCCTTTTAGCCCAGCAACCTTTGGAGTTGAAGACTTGTCTTATCTACGTTACTATTGCTACTTCATACATCCTGAATACAATCGTTTGGACGTCTCCAGATTCGTGCGCTCCTCCCACTCTATCCATACATTACATCCTACATCATGTCATCACAACGCTTCCACCTGTTGGGTGAAGACCCTTCAGTCGTAACAGAGTTCGAGATTCCCGCCTCAACAGACGAGGAGGGCCTCCAGCATCTCGCCGCCTCTCACTTTGCCGTCGTCGACCACAAGGGTAAGTCCCCAACGCCCTGCCATGCCATAGCTCTTTGACACCAAACTAACACAATTACAAGGCGTTGGCTTCGTCTCCGGAGATGAGGCTCTGACAACAGTCGCCGATGTCCTCGCCGCCGAGGGCCCCGTCGCCATTACCATTGACGGTCACCCCGTCCGCGAAGTCCCCGGCCCTTCAGGTCTGCCCTTCATCGGCAACTACTTTGAGGTCTACCCCGACCATCTCGGTAACCACCAGCGCCTCTTCGAGAAGTACGGCCCCATCTTCAAGACCACCAACATGGGCTCCGTCATCTACCACACCAACGACCCGGCCATCGCCAACATATTCTTCTCCGAGAGCGATTTCTTCACAAAGAACATTATCCCCGGTCACCCGCTGTTCCCTATCAAGAACAAGGAATCCGGAGTCTTCCTCGGCGACACAGATACCCCTGAGTGGAAGGAGGTCCACAAGTTCCTCCCGCCCGCCTTCGGTCCCAAGGCCGTCCGTCACTACGCCCCGACCATGCAGGCCACTATTGAGGACTCCTTCAAGGTCTTTGACGAGCTCGACGAGAAGGAGGAGGCCTGGAACGTCTACCCCTACATGCTCAAGCTCGGCTCCCAGGCTGTCGGCAAGCTTGTCCTCGGCATGGACTTCAAGCACTTCACCGCCGTCGACGCCCCGCCCCACGAGATGGTCATTCGCATCGCCCAGTCCCTCGAGCTTAACAAGAAGATCACCTCCATGGGTAGCTGGTACGCCTCCCTGCCCTTCGGCGACCCCCAGCGCCTGCGCGACGCCCGTGGCCGCATCGTCGAGATGATGAACGAGTCCATCAACAACGCCTCCAAGGGTGTCGAGAACCTCGAGCTGCAGGAGGCCGCCCTCCAGGCCGACAACATGGTCGACTACGTCCTCCGCGCCAGCGACAGCAAGGGCAACAAGCTGCCCAAGGAGCGTATCATGGAGCCCCTCGTCGTCGCCACCGGCGCCGGCTTCACCACCACCTCCTCCCTCCTCTCCTGGCTGCTTTACGGCATCGTCGCCTACCCCGGCATGCAGGAACGCCTCCTCCAGGAGCTCATCGACAACGGCTTCGACGAAAACACCCAAATCACCGCCGACCTCACCCAGAAGCTGACCTTCCTCGACAAGTACATCAAGGAGACTCAGCGCCGCCACAACCCCTCCTACCAACCCGCCCGCACCTCAAAGGTGGACATGATTCTCCCCGGCGGCTACAAGCTGCCCAAGGACTCCATCTGCATCCCCGCCATCCACCACATCCACAACAACCATCTGGTCTGGGACAACCCGGCCCGCTTCGACCCGGACCGCTGGGACTCAGACAAGGTCAAGAACCGGCCTAACGCCTCGTACATCCCCTTCGCCACCGGCCCGCGCATGTGCATCGGCTTCAACTTCGCCCTGCAGGAGGTCAAGGTCTTCCTCCCCAAGCTCATCTACCGCTACAAGTTCAGCTTGGCGCAGGAGGGCCCTGTCGAGTACGACCCCATGTTCCAGCTCATCCGGCCAAACAACCTGTACGTCCGCGCCGAGAGGCGTGTCAAGTGGCCTCCTAGGTCTGAGGCCTAAGATGGTTTATGAGTTGTGTAAAAAGTGTTGGGAATCGGTTTCGGTATATAGAGTTCGTTTGTTGTACCATCATTGTCAGTGTATACCCTGGAGCATTGCATGGCGCAGAATATTTGGGGATTTTCGGGTAGATCTCATGATATAGACATAGAGCTGGATATGAATCTAGACTAATCACATGTTCTTTTTGAATCACTTTCCTACACTCATCGGCGATGAATGATCCTAGCCCAAGTATTCTAGTATTCTCATGCTGAACTAACTCTCACTCAAATTGCTGTGCCCCAAACTGCCCGTTCAAATCAACCTGCAACAACCTCTTCTCCTCAATCTCCCCTTTCCGCTCCACCAACTCCTCGACATCCCAGTTGGTCGCGACAAACCTCCCATTCAGGAACCGCGCCTTGTCCGAACAAAGCCAGACGGCCGTCCCGCCCACGAGAGCGGGGGTGTCGTGCGCAAAGGGGCGGAATTGGTCCATGGTCATGTCGGTGTGGACCATGCCCGGGTGCACCGAGACGGTGGTGACGTTGTCCGGGTTCTCGATCGTGACGTGGGCGTTGAGCTGCTGCGTCGCAAGCTTGGCGATGATGTAGGAGCTCATTGTGGGCACGACCCAGTGGGTGATCGTGGTGATGTTGATGATGTGGCCGTGGGCGGTTGAGGGGAGGGATTTGAGGAAGTGGAAGGTTGGGTAGAAGGTTCCCTTGATGTTGGTGGTCTGGTGTTGTTTTCGAGTTAGCGAGGAGGTTGCTCTTATATTTATCGGGGACGGGAGGGAATGTTCGGGCTTTCCACATACCAAGTCTTCTATCCAGAGTTTTGGATCGCTGTTTGTGATGAGCTCGAGCGAGGTCTGCACGGCGGCGTTGTTGACCAGGACGTTGGCGTGGCCGTACGTCGCGTTCACTTTCTCAAAGAGGGCCTTGATCCCTCCTTCATCTGTCATGTCGACGGGGTAGACCAGCGTTTCGACATTGGCGTTGAGCTCCTTGACCTTGGCCGCGACGTCTGACAGCTTCTTCTCGTCCCGGGCCACGAGGACGAGGGCTTTTGCCCCGGCTCTGGCAAAGGCCGGCACGATTCCCTGGGAACTTGTGAGCTGGAAAATTTCATAGACGGAGAGCGGCTAGATAATAAATCTCCAGGGTGCAAGCAGACTCACCCAACCACCGATGCCGCGGCTCGCGCCGGTAATGATGACAACCTTGCCGGCAAGGGAGAGCTCAGAGTTCTCTGGTTTGATGGCTGGATATTCATCTCTGTAGACCTTCTTTGTGAACTGAAGGGCCTTGACGTAAAAGTCTGGTGGCATAGAGTCGGAAGCCATCTTGACACGCTTCAGCCTGTAGATGAAAATGCTGATGAAAGAGCCGGTTGACTATAGATTTACCACGAAACAAAAATGTAGCTCCCCGGTGGCAGACGAAGAGCTTTTATCGGCGGGAAAGAATCTTGCTCTGGCTAACTGCATGTACGTTGAACCTAAGCCATCCCGTCGGTTCATCAAAGCTCATGCGGGGATCATCTTAGCCGATTCTCACGGTTGCCCACATGTAAGCACTTGGCAGGTTGAAAGCCCGGACGACGTGAGATTTGGGTTAAGTCTATCGCATGTTGGCCAATAGCTAGTGCTAAGGTAGTTTCTACTTTATCCATGGCATTGGCGTCCGCTTACGACATGCATACCTTTCTGACAGCGACCACCGAAATGTGCATAGTGCTGACGCCCAGTGAGGAAGCCAGACAAAGGGTCTGAGACTTCTCACTCGGATAACCCACGACAACCCCTGTCAACCCATGGCAACCCCATCATCACAGGACAAAGGTGCTAAGCATCATCTTCGACGCCAACCATCTTGCACGACTCCCTCCACAGCCGCGCAGCTTTCGCCTCATCATAAACCCACGACGCGTACCCGGGGTCCGTCGTCGCCGGCGTGAATCCGCCGACACCAGGTCCGCCCTCAGTGCAGTCGTTGAGGTATTTCCCGCCCTTACCCTCCCACTCTTTGCTCACGGCGGCGTAGACGGTGGTAGCGGCGCCCTGCTCCGGGTTCTTGAGCATGCTCATGAGCTTATTGAACGTCTCCTCTCCCAGATTCGCCTTGATCGCGTCCACGTCGACGTTCTGCGACGCAGCCATGCTGGTCAGGATGGCGCCCGGATGGAGCGATGTGGAGTGCAAGCCGCGCGAAGCCCCATAGCGCCGCTCAACCTCGTTGGAGAAATAAATGTTGGCTGTCTTGGACTGGCCGTACGCCGTGTACGGCTCATACGACCCTTCCTCGTCAAAGTTGACATCCTCGAAGCGGATGTCGCTGGCGCGGTGGGCCATGGACGAGACGACAACGACGCGGGAAGCAAAGTCCGGGGTTGAGGAGGCGAGGAGGGCAGGTTTCAGGAGCTGGAAGAGGAGGAAGTGGCCCAGGTGGTTCGTGGCAAACTGCGATTCGAAGCCGTCTGCCGTTATGACCTTTGTCTGGGCCATGATGCCTGCGTTGTTGACGAGGATGTTGAGCTTGCCGTTGCTCTTGGACAAAAAGTCCTGCGCGCCTTTGCGGACTGAGGAAAAGTCGTCGAGGGACATTTCCACGAAGTCTAGGGACCCGGAGGTCTCTGTCTTGGTGGAGGCGGTAATGTCTGCGATTGCCTTTTCGCCCTTTTCGCGGCTGCGGACGCCGAGGTAGATGGCGGCGCCGGTATGATAGAGCGCGCGGGCTGTTTCGAGGCCGATGCCTTGGTTTGCGCCGGTGATGAGGATGGTCTTGCCGGTGAGTTTACCAACGAGGCCTTCGTCTCGAATGATTTGAAGGGCTGTTGGGCGAGCGTCGCCTGGTCCCTTGGGGTTCTGGAAGGCTTCAGCGTATTTAGACATTTTGGGCTTTTTACAGATGTTTCGTTCCTTGGGATAGTTGTAAGTGAGAGATCAAGAGTGAGGGAGGAGGACTTGGTGAGTTGGTCTAAGATCTAGAAGGCATACACGGGGTTGAAACAAGATATTTATGTGTCTTGTCATTGTCATCAGAATTTCTTTGCTTTCTAATGGCTCTTCATCATGTCCGTCGTAGTTATCGTAACTTTCGCATTCTCATTCCGAACCCGACGAAGCTGGCGACTTACACGCGAGGCATGTCGACTGAACCCTGGGAAACTCAATTCAACTCCGCCAACCACGACATGCAGCTGTGGAGACAATGTTACTAATCCAAACGGCGCGTCGCCGGCGCCTGTGCTTTCTAGAGTTGGCGCTAGCACTCGCGGGCCTCGCGGCATGAGTTTTAACCTCATAGGAAGCCGTCGAGGTTCGAATGCGGAGATTGAATCGGCGGAGTTTCGGGAGCGGAGTGGGACTCAGGAGCTGGAGCAACCCGGAATTCGGTTTCTGATCACGTCTAAAAGCGCTCGAGCTCCCGCACTGGCAAAGCCACATGCAGATAAGTTCGAGTTGGTAAAAGTAGCTTAGGTCTCTAGAAAATCATGAGGGAATCATGTCATTCATGTAAAAAAGTAGGTACATTATTCATATAAAGATGCCCTCCAGGGCGGCTTTGGCGCCTTTCCTCCGGCTACTTTGCATAAGTAAGTACTTCATTACTTCATATTCGAATCAGTAGAAGCTCTAGTGATCTTCTGTTGCACTTCCACCCCCTTGGGGGAATCCCAGCCTTTTGAGGCCCCGTGTATGATGGCCTCTTCACTGTCGTTTCTCGATGCATTCCCAATGGACGTCTCCTCTTCCCTCCCTCTACCGCCCGACGTGATGGTAGCCTTATATCCGGTATGTCGGCTTGGTAGGCTCTGTAGAGGATACGAAGATCTCGTCCCATTCCCTTGTCCTTCCTTACCATTGCTCCCCAACGGATACTTTGTTTTGCATGAAGAGAAGCCCAGCAGTGCAGGAAAGAACGTTTTAAAGAACGCTTTCAGTGCCGAAGAGCAACCGCAGAAGATGGCGACGTAGAGCTCAACGGCGTACCAGATAAGCGAGCTGGCGAATTGTCGGTATATTTCGGGTTCGTTGGCTAATTGTCGGACGTAGTAGAAGCGAACGCAGCCAGCTGTACGCACTGGTCAGTTGCCCATGTTCCAGAAGTCGGTTGGACGTCCGTGTCAGCAAAGTTCGACTCACCCGCGACGCAAACAACTCCTAGCGCAAATACTGCCGACACCGCCCACTTTTGCCGCTGATATTGCATGTTAGCAGATGAGAGGAACTCTAGAGGCGTGTTCATGGTCCAAGTACCTGTGGTAGTTGCAAGCCCCAAATCATGGGAATCGGACATATCCAAAGACAAATGTCTGTGACAATGACGATTATCCCGGCGGCGTCCCAGAATGCCTGTTGCACCGCAGCCGGCATGCAGAATTCCGCATAGATCTCGTGATTCCCCTTGGACGTCCAGAATACCTCGGCAGGGTTGCATTCGATGGCGGACATGACGAAGTGACATATTCCCAATCCGATCACTGCCGCCATAAGTCCATACACCGTCCATCGCATCTTGGGTCGATTATCGAGGCGCAGGTAGAATAACAGAAGGCCGACTTTGACGAGCACGTTGCCGACGGCGAAGAATAATCGGGAGATATAGAGCGACTTTGCACAGGGGAGCGGGGTTAGCGAGTTCTCGTTCATATTTGGAAACCCTACCGCGAGACCCAGAAAGGATTTGTTTAAATATACCAGCAACATTGGCTCCCACTCATTCAACGGTATTTCAGCTCCTGTCTCTAATTAGCAAAAGGAACTTGGGCCTTGTATTGTCTAGCTCACTGATTCTCCCTAGGCCGTGTCTCACGGAATTCATGACGAAAACAGACTGCAAAATTGCGGCGATCTACATTGTTTCAGTCAAATAAAATTTGACGTATTGGAAAGAGTATAATACTCACGGTTCCGGCAACCATCATGACTACAGAATTGCGCTAGTTAGCAAGAATGTCACGATTAACAAGCTGTCCCAATGACACGTACAGTCGTCAGCCCCAATGGATTTCGTGATGGAGAACCTTGTGTATAACCTGACGCCCATGACGAAGACTATGATGATGATCAGTGACCCATTGACCCCGAATGCCCTCTGTTGGGCCGTATTGAAATCTGATATTGATAAGCTGCCATCTTCTTGGCGACTAGACAAGTCGCGAAGAAGGTCGTCCATGGCTGGTCGTGTCGAAGCAGTCGACAAACTTGGGTCCGAGTCGAGGACGGACCATCTCGCTGGGGAAAAGGACACGGGTGGCGGGGTGAGTCTGGGATAAAAACATACTCTGTTCTCATCCATTACAATCCTGTCGTCCTTGCCGGTTTCCTGATGGGGCTCAGTGCCTGGCTGGCGCTCGGACGACAGCCAGGATGACGAATGGCGAGTGCTGTAATGTCTTCCAGGAACAGAACCGGATCGTTGTCACGTTATGTTATTCATTGCGAGTGTGTGTGGAAATTGACAAGGCTCAGAGTGAAAGGGGGCCTTTTACGAGTCATACGGGCTGCTTATCGTGGGACGTGACTGTAGGTGCTAGTGATGTGGATCAGAATTATCTGCTTTGCGTGGAGCGCGGCAGTTGATCAGATAGTAAAACGCAATGGGAGTGTCCACTGAGTTGTCCGTCTCCCTTCACGATCCTGCTATTTCTAATCTTGCCGTAGCATGCTGTTATGAATTTTGGGTTTTGAGTTGGATGCATTACTTCATGCCCCGGGACCTTTCTTTCTCATTCTGTTCTAAGTCTTTAGGTAGTGAGCCATACAACGTGTCATGGCATTCGGTCTCTCAGTGACAATTTTGAATCTCCATCTTCTTCAAACGCCAAGTCCACCTTGTGGTTGGATATGTCAGATTAAAACCTGATCAAGCAGGGCTTGGGTCCTCTCGATGCAACGCTGTACGGTAAAATCACTTTCGATGTCCGCGCGGAAGGCTGCCGCCCGTATCTGGTGTCACATTCCGTCCTCAGAGTTTCTCAATGCAGAAAATCTCCCGCTGTCATGACTCTGCCCGACATTCATCTTGCGCGCTGATCCGACACGCCATGTAGGAGCCCGGAGAGACGCTGAATCGCGGAGCCAATATTTTTAAACGTGATAACGCGGTGGAGAGTGATTTAGCATTCCGTGGATCAGTCACGGTAAAATCCACAGGTCCTGAGCAGCGCAGCAGTGCCGTTGAGGATTCAATTGATACTCCCGGGTTAGCGGGACTCTGGGTCATCGATCGCGCTCAGACCAGAAGTTCGACCTGTCAACTTTTGGTGGACATTCGTCATGCGGGGAGGGCTGAACGGTGAGCGGGGAGTACCCCGATGCCGCTTACTACACAGGGTAAT